TTCCTGATATGAACTAGATCCAGGCTGTACGTTAACAGAAGCACCGACTGGATTAATGTGCACCTTCCCGACATGAACAGGGGTCACTTGAAAGTTCTGAGATTGTTCTGGGGTTAACCCTGGATGATGAAGTGGGTCCTCAGTTACACCTTCTGGCATAGGGCTTTTCCCATGTTCTGGATTTCTTCCTTCCAACATACTCGCAAACTTGGCAAACATCTCCTTTTGGGCATTCATCATATCTTCTTGCATTTTCTTGATATTATCTTGTAACTCCAACTGAGCCTTCTCAATTTGGGTAAGTTTGTCCTCCATAACTTTCTTCCTGGTTCTGTAGATATGCTTGGGATTTTCCAGTATTACTCTGTCACAGAGTCATTTTGTTATCGCTGATACTTATTAATGAATATGAAATATATGATTATGAATGAATAAAATGCGATGCAAAAATTTAAATGTATTAAAAATGCATATGCAAAATGCAGGGTGTTGATCCTGGAACGACTCCTTAGAACAACTCTTTATATTAGAACGACGTTCAATTACAAAGTTGAAACATATCACAAATAAATCTGCACCATCTCTCCTATTTGTTGTACATATGCTAGCAACTCCACGATCTTCTGGTTTTCTTCAGCCTCGGGATCCAGTTCTTCAGTCACATCAGCAGCTTCCTCAGATAGAATGACCAAATATTGAGTTATTCTCCTAGCGTGTCCTAGGTAACAAGCAATAAGATCCTCTCTTTGCTTAACTCTCGCCTGAGCTCGCTCCCATCGAAAACGCCACTGTATATCCCCCTCATAAAGAACTGTTGATAGCTCACTTGCTTGCCTCTGAAAATCTTGAACCATGGCTTCAAGCTCACTCACTTGCTTTTTCAGACTTTCAACTTCCCCATGGCTTGAGCTACCTTCCCTGCTTTGGTATCGTCGTAATGCAGTCTCTAAACTTGAAATTTTCTCCTTCAACTTCTCATTCTGGGCTTGACTCTCTTGTAACCGCTACTCTAAAGAATCATTTTCTTTCGATAAAATCTTCACTTGGTGCCCGCTTTGCTTGAGCTCTTCTTGACTCTCTCTGGCTACTCTTTTGAGGCTCGCCACCTCTTGCCTCCATTCGACAGATGACTTACTCGAGCTAGAACCTGTCTGAGCTTTTACCATTTGCTGATAAGTTGACCGAAGATTGTTAAAGTCTAGCCGAAGTTGTTTCTCTACTTTTTCAATTCGATCTGCTCTACTCTTCTGAATGTCAATCTCCAATCCCTTTTGATACACATCATCTTCTAGCTTCTGTAAAGTCATTCTCCATTGTCTCCGTTCTGCTTCGAAATCGCGCTTGGCTAACTCTAATGGAGATGGCACCACTCTCAACTGTTCCTCCATCGGCTGAATATTTTCAGGATTCACTATCGGGATGTTGTCATTTACTCGACCGCTTCTCCACTGCTCGTACTCTTGAGGTAACTCGAGATCATAGGTGAACAAATTCACGCGACGAGTTTGCTTCCAGGCCTCAGCAACCCCTTTAACTTTACCCTTATACTGATCTCCTTTGAATGCAAAATCTGATCCTACCAAGTCCCACGTGGCTGGAATGAACTGCCTCGATCCATACTGTCTAGAAACTAGTAGCGGTGCATACCCAACAGAACCCCATATACCTGGCAAAAGAACCCAATCTCGCCCTCCACATCTGTAAAGCATATCCGAAGAGGTATTCCACGAAGCTCGCCACAAAATATCTCAATCTCTGATATCCTTGAAGATGACCATCCATTTTTCTTCGGTGAAGCCCCCAGGCCATTATTTAGAAAGAAAATCCTTCAAAAAACCCCTCTAGAAACACTCATCCTGGTGCTCTTTCAACATGTTTGAAATGACTCAGAATCCACACTAGCAGCAAAGGCGCACATCCTATAAAGTGTCATTCTCCTTCGCGCCTACAAGAACTCAAAGATCGGAACGTCTCAGCTAAAATGGCTGGAACAGGATCCACGTGCTTTTCTAATCTTTCAAACAGGTCAACGGCTGATACGTCTACATATCCTAACACCTTTGGAAAAATAATGAGCCCATAAATCCCTAAAGCAAACAAGTCAAGCTTCTTTCTCTTATTAGGGTGATGATCAATTACTTCTTTCAGAGCAGCCCAAGAGATGCACTCACTGTCTCCCTTCTTCTTAATGTTTCTGACTACCAATCTTCACTCATTCCGGTCATCAATAGTAATTTCTTCTTAAACGAAGGAGTGACTGGCAACTTGGTATATACTCTATCCATCTGGGACCTCGAACAACGGACCAAAGCTTGATACTCCTCTATTGTTGGTGTTAGATCCACTCTACCAAATGTGAAATAGCTGTAAGCCGGATTCCAGAATTGTGCCAACGCTCTAAACAGATTTCGATCAATAGGAACATCCAGAAGATAAGAATATCGCCGTACAACTGATAAAACATCTCCTTATCGGCTACTGTCCATCTTCCCCATATCTCCTTTAGCTCACTTAGATCATTCTGACGCACGTTGATGTGAGTATAACCAAATAACTCCGACACGTATCCAGGCATCACGCTGTCCCTATTGGTCAGTTGGGACTGTTCCGACCACCTCAGAACATCGGCATTGTCCTCAACCTCTTTCTGAACCGTTCATTCCATATTACTGGCCTTCTATATGGACATCGATCCCAAATGAACACCATAATGGATAGAGCATGCAAAACAGAAAAGAAACAAGGCAAAGACAACAAGAGATCGGTTAGCAAACATAAAGCAATTAAGTCGGGATAATAATTTGTTCAAGAATCCTACCCACATGCTGGCTACCCAATCATGCTTTATCAGATCCTACCCAACTTGATATCTACCCCATGCTTTGTTATTCACAAAAATAAATCCTAACCGCATGATATCTAATCCGCATGCTTATTCAAAAAATAAACCTAACCGCATGATATCTAGTTCGCATGCTTATTCAAAAAATAAACCTAACCGCATGATATCTAGTTCGCATGCATTTATTCGAAAAACAAAAATTAATAACTCAAAAAAAAGTTTTTCCTTGTGTACCCTCCTCACGAGATTCTTAAGGTTCGGGTTTGGTTCAACCTAAGTTCAGGCCCTACGTTCACTATATGTCGGGTTAGGTTCTAAAGTAATAGGTTCTCGAATTGTCCTTGCCGGTGACCCCTTGGGCTGTCGAACCTTCAATCCTGGCCCATTAAAGGCTATAGGGGATCGAGTTCAATTTCGAGGGAACACACCTCCTTATGTCCATACGGTGGTGATTACAATCACGAGGACCATAAGGCGTGAGCTCCAGGAGCGATCCACTATCCCATGCGGAGGTGAAAACCACACGAGGGCATAGTCTCTCACTCCTACTTAATTAGGACGGAGCGGGGTTTTAGCTCATGTCATGAAAATGTAACTGTGCAGTGTGTGAGGAAAAGCAAAAAAACAACACAATAAAAAACTCAAAATTTCCTAAATTCACACAATTAATCTGAAACCATTAGCAAACAAATCAGTACAACTATTTATTAGTTAATCAAATTAATTAAAAAAAATCAAATACAAACAAAACTTATAAAAAACCAAACAAGGGATCAAAAACCAAATTAAAACGAATTTATAATTTTCAATTGCAAAGACAATTAATTAATCGACTATCAGCCTGACTCTCTAAAAAAGGTCCCCAGCGGAGTCGCCAAGCTGTCGAAACGATTTTTTTCTCAAAAGGTGAAAAGGTGATATTTTGAAAACCACGTTAATTCTTAATTGTCTCTTTTTAATTTAAAAACAGATGTGATTTAAAAGACCTCTCGTTTCAAAAAAATTATGAATTTCCTTTACGATCAAAAAAAATGGTTCGAAGAGTCGCCATCAATCTTTGATTAGGGTGTGATTGGGCACCCAAAAATGCTTGCTATTTTAAATAAAAATTAATTTTAATTAAAACAACAAATTAAGGTATGCGTTACCAAAATCCGAGTTCGGGAGCCGGTTACGTGTGGGGAAGGATTAACACCCCCACAATGCCCTAAATCAGTACCTAGTCGATTAATTAACGTCCTAGTATTGAACTTTACAAATTCGAACTTAATTTGATTTTTGATCCCATAAAACAAAGATATAAATTTAAAAACATTCAAAAGCACTCAAAATAATTAAATTAAAATTATCAAATCGTTTTAGAAAGATAAGAATGTTGATTATTTACAAATATCGAGACCATATCTTAAAAGTTATAACAACCTTTTCTCGATAAATTTAAATAAACGAACATTTCCTTTTCTTTCATTCCCAAATTTTAGAGTGATAGATCAATTTTTTTTGTTTCACTTTCGGGATATACTTTTATTTTAAAATCATTAAAAGCGAACCTCAAATCAGTTATGACTGCCCACTTAAAACAATTTTAAATTAAAAGTATTTACCCTTATCCATTATGAATATGTCGAGTTATGCAAATAAGGCTATCATCAAATTGTGAAAAAAATATCATGCTAATTAATTTAACAAAATTAAAAACATCATACAACGTGACATACAAAAAATTATATACATATGTTTTAATTAAAAATCATAAATTATGCATATTAACGTATTATATACACATCTGACCTAAATATCATAACATGCTAAACTATAAATTAAAAAAATGTACATATACACATTAAAAATGACTAAATTAAATAAATGTAAAATTCAGTTTGCAAATCAAAAATAAACCAAGGACCTAAATATAAGAATATGCAAAAACAAGGGACCTATACATGAAAAACCTAACAAAATTATAACTAAAATTAAAATTTGAAAAACAGCAAAATTAAGACAAACACAAAAGGTTAAATTCTAAAATAGTCCTAAAGATGACTAAGGTGTAAAAATGTATACACTTGGAGGACTAAAAACCTAAATTAACCTAAAAACCTAACATATAACCTAACTAAAACAACCCTAAACTAATTGACCAACATACACAGCTAGCTCTCTTCCTCTCCCTTCTTATCAACCACGCACGGCGCTGCTCCCTCCTTTGAACACCGCCGCCGTCGTTCAGCCACCATATCTCGGTGGCCTCTTCTAATCACAACCGTCATCCATTTCTTTCTCTCACACCTCTCACACATGGCCAAAGTTTTACAACCCCTCTACAATTCTTAATCGAGAGTTTCAAAACTCTCTATGTCATACATCGACTCCAACCAGAATCTGACCAAAATAGTAATCGGGCTCACCGCTGAAACCCCTCTACTCTCCAGGCTAACCTAAACTCAAAAAAATATCCATATCCTCCTTCATCTCCCTCTCGATCGCTCACCTCTTCAACCCCGACACCCGACGCTCGGCCAAGGTAAATTTTCACTTTCGTCAGGAATTAAAGTAAGTAATCAGAGGTATAGTCATTGGGTAAAATGATGAAAAGTTCTAAGGACTTATGATTAATTTTAGGAGCTATGCGGATAAGAGGAAGAAGTGAAGCTGATCGATTTCTGGGAGTAATTTATAATGGATAAGGATACAGGCAATGGTGGGCACTGACGAAAGAACAGAGGGATCGGGTTATGAAGATTAAATCCATTTGAAGAGTTGCTATGCTAGCTTTGGGTTTTTGGTGCTTTTGAGGAATGCTTGGGTAATTTCTATTGTTCCCATGTAAACACGATTGAGGGGGAGAAGGTTATGGGTTTTTAGATTAAACTATTAATTGCTAAAGAAAGGGTGAGTCAAAGTTTAAAAAAAAAATTGCCACTGCTTCCTTGACTTTTGACTAGAACCCAAAAAACCGAACCTAAATCCTTTTACTTGTTTAATTTATTTTCTCGTTGGTTGTTTAATGCGAATTTATTTGATTTAATAACGCTAACCTCAGTCCCTAAATTCTGGCCATACAACCCCGAACGACTAGGATGGAACCACCGAGATTCTACCATTGTTCACAATTACGGTAATTTTCTAATCCCTTTCTCTATTATTCTTTATGCTTTACAAGAAAAACAACAAGCCACATATAACATTGCTATATGTTTCGGATAATAAAGAAGATAATGAAAATAACCTGCTTTCGAATTGCTTAGATTGCTTTAGAAAGAAATAGGGAAGACCCTTGTTACACTGCTTGATCTTTGAAAATGGAAATGTTGTTTACAATGCTTCTTTCCTCTTGTTCTACTATGTAAAAAAAATCTCCTCCCCGTTCTCTCCTTCTCCTTTTCTCCCTTCTGTAAAAATTTAAAAAAACTGATCTCCCTCTCGTATATTCTGTCCCCCCCCAGTTTCTGATGGTTAATTCCCAATAAAAACTGAACCTCTTTTCGGTTTTCTTGTCTGTTCCCATATCGTCCTCCTTTCTCTCTACCCATGATAATGTACCCCTGATCCTTGGTTAACTCCTCTTTCATGCTTATTAACTCCCTATAATCGGTTTTAGTTTTCCAGAGCTTCACGTGGATTGGAGGCTTGAATGATAATACTGCTGTTTTGGACTGATTTGGGCTTCCACTAATCCAAATTTGTATCTTGTATTGGATCTGTAAAATAAAATACGAAATTAAATAATTATTGTATACTCTATATATATTTATACGTGAACCTATATAACTACTATAAGACCATAATAATAAACATCTTTATATATTTAAAACTCAAACAAAACCCCCGGACAAAACAAGCATCTACAAACGGCAAGTGGCATGATTGAATGCATTTAAACAATTAAGTGATATGATTGATAAAAATTCAAAAATAATGATCAAAATGAAAAATGACTATAGTTAAATAGTCTCTGGTATAGCTTACTCTTAGGTGGCGTTTGGTTCGCTGAAATGTTTCTGAGGGAATTGGAATCTGTGAAGGAATTGGAATATGTCAGGAATTGGAATCCAATTCCATATTCTGTTTAGTTCGTAGATATGTCAGATGAATTTGATTTCAATAATGTAAAATGATAGAATTGCCCTTCTTGCTTTTTTGCTTTATTTTAGTTTGTTTTACAACTTACATGTAGTAATATATTATAAAAAATTAAAAAATATTAAATTTTCATTTTATTGATTGATTATTCATTTCAATAAATTATAAAATCATGCTAATAAACATCATAAGTTAAAATCATCGCAATCAAAATATGTTAATAAGTTGTCAAAAGATAGAGTAATATTTCGATACATTCCAATCGGAGTATGTTAATTAGTTACCAAAAAATATACCAAAAACTATTTTTATTCAATATATGAATTAGAAACCCGACCCGACACGAAATAATAAAAAAATTATTTGTATTTAATAAAAACATTGACTTAATTGAAAAAAATTATATATAGAGGGGTATTATTGTAATTATTCCTAAATATATAAGGTAAAATTATATATATTTTTCGGGTCGGGTCCGATTTTTTCACCCTAAACTCGAACCCGACCCGAATATCACACTTAAAAAAACCCGACCTGACTTGACCCGAATATCACACTTAAAAAACCCGACCCGAACAAAATAAAGTTTCACCCGACCCGACCCGAATATATGAATTAGAAATCCGACCCGACCCGAAATAATAAAAAATTATTTTAATTCAATAAAAACCATAACTTAATTGAAAAAATTATATATATAGGGGTATTATTGTAATTATTCCTAAATATATAAATATATATTTTCAGGTTTTTTTTTCACCCTAAACCCGAACTCGACCCGACCCAAATATCACACTTAAAAAAACCGACCCGACCAAAATAAAATTTCACCCGACCCGACCCGAATATATAAATTAGAAACCCGACCCGAAATAATAAAAAAAATATTTTATTCAATATATGAATAAGTTACCAAACGATTTATGAGGGTAGTATGGTCAAATTTCAATTCCCTCCAATAAGGGAATTGAATTCCATCCATTCTTGGATGGAATTCACTTTCCCTCATTTGATGAAAAGTTGAAGTCATGAGGGATTCTAATTCCCTCGGAAAACTTGAACCAAACATGGAAAAGTGGTGGAATTAGATTCCAATTCCCACCAATTCCAAAGGATTCATACCAACCAAACGCCACCTTAGGTTAAATCAGTTTCGTCCTACTAGTTTGTGAAACGTGCTCTTTGAAATCGTATCCAAAATATTAGTAAAAGAGATGCAAAATCTCTTATATGTGTGCATTATTTAGGCTAAGACGATTGATAACAAATAATATCAGAAGTGCTTATGAATTATTACACCCATTTTTCACTAAAAAAATTAAAAAGAATACTGTCTTAAAATTTGACATTAATTAAACCTATAATTGATCTATTGGTATTGTGATATGAATAACTCCCTTATCTAAGAGATCAATCTTTTTTATTTATCATTATCGATTATAAAACTCTATGTCGGTAATAAACTAAAGAGGAGTCGGGAATGCATGATTCAAGCCTTAATCCTTTAAAATGGGAGTGGAAATCTCACTAATAAAAATACGGCATAGTCAACCAAGGCATGTTTCAAGCCTTCAACCCAAATTATACATCAAAATAAAAAGGGTAACTGCACATTTAGTACATATATTATTAGTTTTAGTTTGTTTTAGTATTTAAATTTTTAATTTTTTAAAAAATTTTGACGTTAAATTTTGAATGGGATATTAAAATGAAGCAAAAATTAAAGTTTAGATATAATTTTTTTAAAAATTGAAAATTTAAATATTAAAACAAACTAAAACTAATAATTTAAATACTAAACACACGTAATTTATCCAAATAAAAATGATAAATTAATACAATCATACAACGAAGCTTTAGTTTTCATTATTAAAATTTCCAAGAAAACAAGCAATTGACGCACAAAAGATTTATATTTTCTGCTCGGACACTCAAAAAATAATTGTAACAGATATAATTAATAAATAGTATAACGTCTTATCATAATTATTTTTCATAGATGTGAATACAAGGTAATATACATATATATAATTTCAATTAATTGATAAAAAAATTTATATTCTACGATGTTTAAATTGAGACCTCAAAGAATAACAAAAAACATGGTTTTTAGAATCGGACCGGTTAGCGAACCGGTCATGCTACCGGTTCACTGGTTCAACCAGTTGAACCGGTTCGACCGGTCGGAAGAACCGGACGACATCATAATTATTTAAAAAATTAAATAAAAATACCAAAAAATATTTAATAAAAAATAATTTTTTATATCACAAGTATTCAAAGCAAGTCATAACATATATAAGTTAAAAACCATAAAATCAAGTGAAACAAAATGATTCAAAACTACAACAAATATTTAAGGTAAACATATTAAATAATAAATATATATATAACTATAATTAAAAAAAAAAATTTGGAGTTAAAAAATCATAACAAAATGATATTGTTTGGTTTAATTTTTTTTTTAAAAACAATCTCATATGGCTAAGAAACATAGAAGAGCATCCCAAAAGTCTAAAGAGTAAAAATATGAGAACAAAATAATCTCACATTGCTAAGAAACATAGAAGCGCATCACAACTAACTTCTATAATAGAGGTAATTGACAAAAATCATGGAGCCTTTTGGTGAGCATTGAGTGAACTATTCTTTCACTTCAATCAAGCTCGAATTTTAGGCTTCAATCGAGCTTCTAATTTTTTTTAGTTCAAGCCTTTTTGAGTTCAAGTTTCAATATTATAGTTTGAGTGAGTGATATAGCTTGTGAGTTTGAGTTGAGTTGAGCTTACTTTTAAAGTTTTCAAGTTTGAGTCGAGCTCAGCAATACTCGAGTTCGACTTGGCTCGTTTAACAAACGACGTTGTTTGGTTTAATTTTTTTTAAAAACAAAAAAACAAAAATCCCGGTTTTCCCGGTTTTTTCCGATTTTCAGCCGGTCCGGTTGGAACGGTTCAGCGGTTCTGGCCGATTCACTAATAGCGGTTCAACCGGTTTAGATTAAACCGGACTAAGCAACGGTTCCCGATTGAACCGAACGGTTTGGTCCAATTTTCAAAACAGAGACAAAAAGTCTCTAAACCATTGAAATCACTGTAAATTCGGTGTTAACTCAAATATAAAGATAAAAAAATTATATTTCTAGATAATAATATTAAGAGTAAACTACATCAGATACCATCGAACTTTAAGTGTTGTATCGTTTATCCTATTGAACTTTTGATTTTGTTAATTATAGCATTGAATTTTGATTTTCGTTTCAAAATATACCACTGAGTCGTTAAATCGTGAACAACCGAGTCAAAACGACGTCGTTTTGGTGAGGTATCTATATAGGCAGCTGTCAGTCACGTTATTGTGTCGTCAACGAGTTAACGGTTTAGTGGAATAATCGAAACGAAAATCAAAATTCAGTGTCATAATTAAAAAAAAAGAAATAAAAGTTTAATGATATAAATGATATAATACGTAAAATTCGGTAATATCTAAAATGTGATGGTGTTTTCAGTAAATAATATAAAATGTGAAATTCTTCGAGTATTCGTGCATCACCTGTGTTATATAAGGAAGAGTTTACGGCCCATTGTTTCAATTAGCAGCTCATTGATGTATTTTTGCTGGGATATAAGTAAACCTGTAGGAAGATCAACTTATTATTAGACAAAATTTGTTGAGGCCTGTATGGACAATCTTCTTAAGATAGATTCATATTCTTTTTAGTGTTTTAAGTAACGTTGGACGTCGGTCTCTCAGGATACAACAACAAAAGACCATAACTATAAGTACAAAACCAGTGATCAATCGAACACAATCTTATCTTTCTCTGTCACCAGAAAGAATGAATTTGTAAGGAATTTTCTAACTGTTTTCATATTCCAAAATTCTACACTTGTGTGTTGTAACTTGTGGCTCTAAGATTTATGCCTTACCTATAGAGGAGAGGAAATGATTGAAAGGTTAAGATCTTTTGATGAAAAATTTGTTGAAAAACTTATAAGTATAATCGAATGGATGCAACTTTAAACCAAAAAATAAATCTAATCACCAAGTAACATAGCTTATTATAACAAGTTATTCATCAATTTGATTGAATTAATTTATTATTTTTTAACATTTCTATGCCAAGAAAGTAGCTATTTTTGTTTCAACAGGTAGATGAATGCCTCAAGTTTTAGTGGATAATGGAGAAACAACAGTGTGTGATGAATTCAAATGGGATGACAAGGAGAAAAGCCATGTGTATCAGATGAAGGTGAGGTGGTATGATGGAAATGAGAAGGAGATAAGGATAAAGATGAGGACCTAGAATTAATTTTTTTATAGAAAAAAATCAATTGGTGCTTGGCTTGAGAACAAGACTGTAAATACAACAGTTGTTTGCTCATTAGCTCTGCTTTGCCTATCTTGTTCATCATTGTTAACACACTCCTATTAATAAACGCCCAAATAGTTCAAGCCATTATAGTCGTAGCATCAAATGACACCCTTGCAGCATCAAAAGACAACACTTAAAGACTGCATCACAACATCTGAAACCGAGCAGAAGGAAGAGGCTTAGTGAGGACATCAGCCACCGAAAACT